TGTGATACATACATACAACGGAATACTACCCAGCCAGTAGGAAAAATGAAGTCTTGATACATGCTACAGTTTGGATGGAGCTTGAAGTCATTATGCTGAGCAAAATAAGCCAATCACAAAAGGACAAATATTAAATGACCTCACTTATATAAAAAGGCAAATGTACAGAGACCAAAGTTTATTAGTGGTTACCAGGAGCAGGAAGGAGAAGGAAAAGGGGGTTAGTGGTGATGGAAAAATCTCATTGATTAAGGATAGGGTTGCACAGCTGATTATTGTAATTGCTGTCAATAAGTTGTATACCTGTAAAAAGTTGTATGATAGATATATTTACAACAACAACAACAAAAGAGTAGCTGCTGAGGCTGCTTGTGTACAACCAAACACCTCATGGGATTTGGTTCCTTGGTTTGGAGGTTTAGGGTCATGGTTTCATGGAACATCCACTTAATTGGCCTAATAACGTGTTTAGTGCTTCTGTTCTACCTCCTAGTTTGCTGTGTAGTGCCCAGGGTCTTCAAAGCTTGTAAGCAGACATCCAAAGCACAATTGGTCTCTCTTTGCCTGGAGCAACAGAGGAAAAAGGAGAATCAGGAATAGGAGGAGGATATGGAATGTGTGGCTAATTGCCTCCATGAACAACTACCTCCTTTGCCGTGAGACCAGAAGAACTAGATGGTGCCTGGCTACCACTACTAAACATTTTGATCAAAGATTCCATAGATGAATCCTGATCAAAAGGGGGAAAATGCAGAAAAGAATTTCAGATTTTCATGGACTCTAGACTTTCTGGAGCCATGGAGGGTGAATGAACCCCTGAAACTATTGCCCTGAGATAATCTTTAAACCTTAAACCAAAAATATCCCCTGAAGTCATCTTAAAAACAAAGGTTAGCTTAACTAGTAAAAAAAGGTCTGCATTGAGCATCGTGCTCTTTTAAGAACTGTCTACATGGGATCAAACTGACAACAGAAACTCAAAAGATTGGATGGGAACCTTAGGGGGCAATGAGTTTATGTTAACAAGGGAGGACAAACTCAGAAAAGAAGGGGTAGAATGGCTGCACAACTCAAAGAATATAATCAATGTCACTAAATTGTACATGTAGAAACTGTTGAATTGGTGTATGTTTTGCTGTGTATATGCTCAACAATAACAACAAAATAAACAATATTTAGAAGGAAAAAAATAACTCATGTGACAACCAGAACAGAATTAATAAGAATGTTGACACATTGTGGAAAACATAATCATGTCACTGAATAATTTGTGTAGACATAGTTAAATTGGAACCTAATTTGCTGTGCAAACTCTCATCAAAAACACAATAAAATATTTTTAAAAATAGCTTTAGCACATATGTATATATCTGTAAACAATATATTATTTAGAGCTGTTTCTTTTTGAGCTGTACAGAAAGATTTGGGTAAGTAGTACTCTGCAACTTCCTTTTTCAGATTCACATTATGTTACTTCAATTCACGTTGCTGCATGGAGTTGCGGTTCACTTCACTGCTCTATATTATTCTATCACATGACTGTGCCCCATTTATTTATCCATTTTCCTGATGGCATCATTGGATTATTTCCTGCTTTGTTTTGTTTCTATTATAAACAACACTGTAATGAATATTTTTTTATATATATATATATAATATTTTGTTGTGTTTTTGATGAAAGTTTACATAGCACATTAAGTTCCCATTTGACAATTTCTACACAAATTGTTCAGTGACATTAGTTACGTTTTTCACAATGTGTCACCTCATTAATTGCATACTGGTTGTTCCATTTCCAGTACTCTAGTTTCCCTGCCCCATTATCTTCTCATCTTTGCTTTAGAGTAATTGTTGACCTTTTGGTCTCATACAGTTTTTTAATCTCACAGGTAATATCCTTTATTTTGTGTGCCAATCTGGTATTTCACTAAAAGGTGACCTCAGGGGAGAGTTTTGGTTCAAGGTTTAAAGAGTATCTCCGGGTGATAGTCTCGGGGATGCTCCAGTCTCAACTGGTCCAGAAAGTCTGGACTTTTTAAGAATTTGAGTTCTATTCCATGTTTTTCTCTCATTCTCTCTGGATCCATCTATCATGGCCCTGAACAGAACAGTCGGTAGTGGTAGCCAGGCACTATCTAGTTCCTCTGGTCTCAGGGTAGATGATGCTGTGTCTTGTGTCAGCTATTAGCCCTGTAGACTAGTTTCTTCTCTGAGACTTTGGTTTCCTTCTTTCTCTTTTGCTCCTGACAAGTAGAGACCAATAGTTGTATCTTAGATGGCCACTCACAAGCTTTTAAGACTCCAGACGCTACTCACCTCACTAGGAAAGTGAACTTTGTGATGACAGTTGACTGAGTTGTCCCATGAGATGAAGGACCTAAGCATTCAAACCCAGAAAACCATTCTTGCAAGCCATTTGGTTATGTCTGAGAAGTGTCTGTAACTGTGTCCTCTATGAATATATACATGTGTACACACCTATCTGCATGTACACGTATACATAGACCCTTCTATCTGTGCACACATATATACTTACCTCTACCTACCTGTACACATGTATGCCTATACACCTACGTATGTGACCATACACTCATTGTTTTATTATTGTTGGTTGTCATGAACATTTGTGCCATTGTTCTGGATACTCACGCGGAAGAGTCTCTCTGGGCTTCATGAGTAGAAGGGGAAAACAGTGAATAGTGTTTAGGGTTTACAACTGTGTAAATCAATGCCAAATTGTTTTCCCAGACGGTTGTATTCTGCTTTTCAAACTTAATATTGTACTACAAGCACCTCCCTGAATCATTAGAAATCCTTCAAGACTTTGATTTCTAATGAATACGTGATACATAGATTTGCTATCATTTATCTAGTTTTTCCTTCTTTTTACTATAAATAACTCTATGTCTTAGTCATTTAGTGCTGCTATAACAGAAATGCCAAAAGTGGATAGCTTCAACAAAGAGAAATTTATTCTCTCACAGTCTAGTAGGTTGCAAGTCCAAATTCAGGGCGTCAGCTCCAGGGGAAGTCTTTCTCTGTCAGCTCTGGAGGAAGGTCCTTGTCATCAATCTTCCCTTGGTCTGGGAGCATCTCAGTGCAGGAACCTCAGGTCCAAAGGACACACTCTGCTCCCGGCACTGCTTTCTTGGTGGTATGAGGTCCCTATGTCTCTCTGCTTGCTTCTCTCTTTTATATCTCAAAAGAGATGGGCTTAAGACATTATCTAATCTTGTAGATCTCATCAATGTAACTGCCACTAATCCATCTCATTACATCACAGTGATAGGATTTACAACCCATAGGGAAATCACATCAGATGACAAAACAGTAGACAATCATATGGTACTGAGAATCATGACCTAGCCAAACTGATACACACATTTCTGGGGGGACACAGTTCAATCCATGACACTCCATAATAAGTATTTTGTCTATATGTCTTGCTCTTTCCTTGGGATAAGTTTCTGGAAGTGGAAATATTAGTTCAAATGGTACGGATATTTTACGACTCTTGATAGATATTAGACAATCATTTTATGTAAAGGTTACACCAACTCGGGAATGGACGCTTACATGAACCAAATGGCCCCGCATCTCATCCCCTGTCTGCCCCACCAAACATATAACTGCCACCTTGAATTCTGCTTCATCTTTTGATACAATTGAGCATAACTTTTATTCTTTTAAAAAAAAAAACTTTGTTAATTTGACAGATGATAAAAATGGTGTCTCATGCATGTGTTCACGTTCGTTTTTATTATTAATTGGAAAGAACTCATATTTTGGGTCACATATCAGATTCCCTTGTATTTAGAATAACTTTCTGACACCAAAGAAAATACAATAGGCACCCAAGCTTTGTCTCATTTCTGGTGGTTTTGGTTTTCACATTTAACTTGAAGTATGAGATAAAATGAAAATGGGGGTTTTTCTGCAAAATTTCCCAATTCCATAGCATAGTTTATAAAGAAAATGTTCTACATTCTACCTTGATGAATAGCATCTGGGATCTTAAAAGCCTGTGAGCAGCCATCTAAGATACTCCACTGGTCTCATCTCTTCGGGAGCAAGAGAGAATGAAGAAAACAAGATACAAGGGAAAGATTAGTCCAAAGGACTAATGGACCACAACTACCACGGCCTCCACCAGACTGAGTCCAGTACAACTAGATAGTGTCTGTCTCCCACCACTGACTGCTCTGATAGGGATCACAACAGAGGGTCCTGGACAGAGCTGGGGAAAAATGTAGAACAAAATTCTAACTCACACACAAAAAAGACCAGACTTAACTGGCCTGACATAGACTGGAGAAACCCCGAGAGTATGGCCCCCAGACACCCTTTTAGCTCAGTAATGATGTCACTCCCGAGGTACTCCCTTCAGCCAAAGATTAGACAGGCCCATAAAACAAAATGAGACTAATGGGGCACAACAGCCCAGGAGCAAGGACTAGAAGGCAGGAGGGGACAGGAAAGCTGGTAATGGGCAACCCAAGGTCGAGAAGGGAGAGTGTTGATATATGGTGGGGTTGTTAACCAATGTCATAAAACAATGCATACTGTTCAATGAGAAACTACTTGTTCTGTAAACTTTCATCTAAAGTACAATTAAAAAAAACTTTGAAAAAAAAAATTTCCCACTGCCCTTTCCCAAGGTGATGCTTGGAGCACGGAGACCAGGTTTTGGGTTTACTGTCAACTTTCTTTCATGTTCTTTGTCCCTTGGTTTTGGAATCAGACTGGCTGGGGCCTGAGACCTGGGTGGACATGGCCAGCTCTGTGACCTAAGCAAAGCCTCCCTGCTCGATGCATCTCACCAAGGTAATAGCATCGCCTTCCTGGAAGATGGAGGAATAATCCGTGTAACGCATATCCAGCACTCAGCATGTTCCATAATTCTCAATAGCTGTCATTGCTGCTGTTTGTCCTCAGCGGGGAAGGGCACCTTATTGTCACGACAGCAGGTGACAGTGATCTGTTTTTTGTTGTTGTTGCAGGCTACATTGTCACTGCAATGACCCTTCTCTAGACGACCCCATCCCTCAGGAGTACGGCCTCTTCCTCTGTCCCACTGGGCCCCTGCTGGAAAAACTACAGGAGTTCTGGAGAGAGAGCAGGCGTCAGTGCGCCAAGAACAAAGCTCATGAGATCTTCCCTCACGTGACTCTCTGTGACTTCTTCACGGTGGGTCAGCCTTGAATGCTCATTAACACAGCAGCTGAAGTCGTTTTTCTGTGATAACAATAGGTAACAATAGGACAAAGTGGAGGGGCAGCCACATGGTTTATTTTCATGGGACAGCCCAGAACTGCAGCATTAGGTGGCCCCATGGCATGCAGTGTCCTTTCCTTTCCTCCTTTCCTTCATCTGGCCAACTCCTATTCATCCTTCAGGACCCAACTCATTTATTCCCTCCCCTTGTAAGTCTTCCCCAGTCCCCCAGGAGGAAGGAGTTTCTGCCCTTTGTGCATCTTTTTGTTTCCATGTTTTATTACAATGTGTCTGCGGTACCTCTGCATCCCTCACTATACTGAGTCCCTCCAGGGAAGGGGATGCTTTACTCATCTTTGTACTCCCAGAGACTAGCACAGTGCCTAAAACTGTAATTGCTTCATAAATGCGCAATGAATGAACAGAAGAAGAATGGCTACTGGCCAGACACAAATGCAACACTTTCCCTGCCTGAAGGATCAGCCCTCTGATGTAGAAAAGGACCAAGGGTGTAGCTTTATCGGGGTCCTAGGACGGTGAGAAGGGCCTGGAGTCTTCCCAGAAGACAAGAAGGGAGTGTAAGGAGGAAGGAGAGAGGTACAGAGAGCCACTTCCTCTGTGGCCCCCACCAGAGGAGTCTAGAGAAGGGCACACCCAGCTTCCATTACATCCTGGCCTGGCCCCGCCTCTGCTGCCGGCAAATGCCACCTTGTTCCACCCATTTCAAGGGGTTCCTCCAGGGCCCTAGGCACCTCTATTCCCCCTGGACACCAAGGTTTCACAGCACTGGATGGAAAAGAGCGGGCAAACCACTGCAGGAGAAGGTTCCGTAGGACACCTCTGGAGAAAGGTGCTCTCCTACAGCCCATGATGCAGAGTGACCCTGTCCGGCTTGACTGTGCCTGGGGGTTTTCATGACACAGGCCTTTCAGTGCTTAAACCAGGCAAGTCCCTGGCCAACTCAGATGAGTTGTCACCCTGCCTTCACATTCCAAGGCATTGTGACAGTTAGGCTCCTTTCCGACTTATCCTCAGGAGCTTGTCGGGGTATAGAAAGACGGCCAAAGGCAGGAGGTGAAACGTAAGCTTAGTCATGAGACGCTCTCAGTCATGGGGGCAAGAGAGCAGACATCAGCCTCCCAGCTCCTTTCCTGGACCCGTGGTGGTACATGTGCACACAGACACACACAGACACACAGACACATGGACACACCTGCACACGCGGAGACACACACATATACAGAGACACACGTACACACGGGGACATGTATGCGCACAGAGACACACATGCACACACAGACACAGAGGGACACATGCACACACAGAGACACACACATACACACAGAGAGACACATGGACACGGACACACATGCACACACAGACACAGAGGGACACACATGCAC